AGACGGACAGACGGACAGACGGACGGACGACGGACAACGGGTGATCAGAAAAGCTCACTTGAGCTTTCAGCTCAGGTGAGCTAAAAAAAAAAACACGTCATAACCATAAAGATAGTAAATGTATTTCAATATTTATCAGCAAAATCTGCATTTACCATATTTAAAAATTTGGAGAGAGTTTTAAAAGAGAAGAAAATTAAACCTCCAAAGTAAATGAAAGGACAACATCTAGCTTTGAAAGCCCCGAGTCTGTTTCATCATTGATATCCATCTTCGACAGGGAGGAGTGCTGAGTCCTGCAATAATTATACTATTTTAACATTTTATAAGAAATCAATTTACTGAACAAAAAAAATTCAGCTACAAAATTTTTATGTTCAAAAACAAATGTAATGAATAAATCATTTAATTTATGTGAAGTGCTAATTAAAATAATAGTTTTATTTCATCTCATTCCATAGTTAAAGGGCCCTAGACACAGTTGCTTTGTTTACATTTTAAATTCCTATGCTTATTCAAAAAATAAAACTAGTTAAATGAATTGAACTTATATGAATATTCTTAGAATTCAATGACGACATTCTTCTTTACATCATGTCAATCATCTGTTTTTGTAAACAGGGCACAAGCTCCGTTATTGTTAATGTTTACGTTTCACCCGGTGTGTCCAATTTGTTAAACTCTGCACACATCACTGAGCATGGACTGACAATACTGGTGAGTTGGTTTTGCTGTCTCACATATCTACTCTGAACTTTCTGGATCATAGTTTTAATATTTTTCATTAATACACAACAAAATGTCTACTTGTCTTAAGTATTAAGGATAAAGTTTACTTTGTGAAAGTGCAAGGATGTGTCAAGGAAAACCCGAAATTTGTAGTTTCAATAATTTCCAGATAAAGAACTTTCTGGACATGCTTGTACTAAATTTCCATGTGAAATGCTATAGCAACTTATAATTCATGATATTCTTCTGAAAATTTGAGAAAATATTGACTTCAAATCTGTGTCCAGGCCCCTTTAAGAGCAATGCAGAAGAAGAATCTATAGGAAAAAAACTGGAGAAAAATAAACACCATCATACTAGAATTTGAACATGAATGTTATATGTTATGTATGATCAAGCAAATTTACAGAAATTTTCAGCTCCAGAAGTTGTACAACCTACAGCTCTGCACCAGATCCTTCCCTCAGATATGAAAGAGGAAATTAAGATACATTTTTAAACCCAATCATCCTAGTTGTATAATCTCCTACGTACATGATGTATGTGTATAGTTTTCAATCCACTCTACTAAATCAACAAAATCAATCTTTGATGCTGTAAAGAGCACTCTGATTACTATTAAGTTTAGAAGTCAAGCAATGTGCACAGATTTGTCAAATCAAGATGATCGAATTATTTTTGGGGCACACCTGCAAATTAATATGTGAATATTTCAGTTAGGTATATTTAATCAAGACTATCTGCTTACTTTGAGGTGGCTCTGTGTAGTTTTTGGAGATAGAGTGGAGTGAAAACCAAACAAAAACAATCACTGACTTACAACCAATACAGGCAACACAAAGTGGATGCTAGCGGATTCATGACTCTGTAAAGGCAGGCATTCTCTAATATGTGAATATTTACTCTGTACAATGAAACAAATCTCTTCATATATTAAAATATCTTCAAATAAACATATACATGTTTACCCATATGCAAGTATTTTCTGCCACAGAACATTCCATCCATAAAGATACGGTGCACACTCTACTATTGTTGCACCTGGAGTATATGGAGCCATGATATGAAGGAATTAGTGCTACCCTTCAATTAACTGCTGTACTAAACACTCACTTATTTTGAGTTTCTGGAGCCATTATATAGCAATTCAGTGCTTCCCTCTTACGTGTATGCTGCACATTCATCATTATTTGACTGTCTGGCACCATAATATGGTATAATTTCTGCTATTCTTTGACAGCTACATACTTACCTGTTGTATTTCTTGATATTCTCAATCCTGTACACATAACAGTGTCAACGCTATGATGTATCATTCGAGATATGGTGGAGTCGGTGCTACCTTTTGACAGCTATGGTACATACTCACTTGTTGTATCATTTCAGTTTCTGTAACTGTGATATGGTGGAGTCGGGCACGGTGCTACCCTTGTGACAGCTATGATACATACCTGTTGTATCATTCCAAGTTTCCATATAAGGGAATCAGTGCTACTCTCTGACAGCTATGATACATACTCACCTGTTGTATTGTTTAAGTTTCTGTAGCCTTGATATGGTGGAGTCAGTGCTACCCTTTGATAGCTATGATACACACTCACCTGCTGTATTGTTTCAAGTTTCTATATAAGGGAGTCAGTGCTACCATTTGACGGCTATGATACATACTCACCTGTTGTATCGTTTAAGTTTCTGTAGCCTTGATATGGTGGAGTCAGTGCTACCCTTCGACACAGGTAAACTCTCTAGATTAGCCATTAGAAGGTTAATGGCTGACTTTAATTCATCCATATACATACTCTCCATCTCCTTCACCACAAATTTGGGATGTTTCCTCATCTTCAAAGATATAACAAAACAGGATTGCAAATCTAGAAACAATCTCTCGATGCTGACTTGTCCTTTCAAGATCTTTTATGGTATATACTGATTTTAACAGTGAGCGCAGGATTTGAAAGACACTAAAAGTATAGCACAGCAATTTTGCTTCAATGAGGAACATCATTCTTATGCTCACTCAAATGAAATTTTGCTCTTCATGATAACGATTTTCAAAAAGAAATCTGAATACAGTCAAACCTTATTATCTTGAATGATTCAAGATATTAAGGGTAAAATACTTAAAGAATAAGGGGGTTCGGACTACCAATCACTTCAACATAGCCATGGTATTCAAGATATTGATGTTTGAGATACTGAAGTTCAACTGTAGAAATGCAAACAATTTCGGCATACCCTAGAGTGCAAAATTTGAATCTAAAATTTGCAAAAACTAACCTAAATAAGATTATTTTATGGAAGTAATCAAAATTAATTCCAGTTACAGCTATATGTCTTATCACGGGGATAAAGGACATTAAAGATTGGAGTATTTGTAGAAAATTATGCTTCATAACTTAAGAAAAATAGAAAATTTGTTCATAACTATGCATGTCTACAATTTGGCATAATTATCTTGTCATTATTAATGTGTTTCTATACACAATCCATAAAATATTAAATTCATCTAACACACAGGCACAATTTAACTGGTGTAACTTACCCTTGACATCTGTTCTGTCAGCTGTAGACGTCGGTCAAGCTCTCTACGAACCTGGGCTGCTTGTTCATCAGCATTGTCCAGCTACAAAACAACACAGACATAACAAATCATGAACAACAGAATATGATGAACATCTAAGTCTGTAGAAAACTAATAACACTGAAGAAACATTCTTGACATTATAACATTCTCTCAATGTCAGTGGTAAATTCAAAAGAAAATTGGCTCACGAAATTTCTTATCAGGCCTTGTGAATGATATGTATCAACAACAATTATCCAAATATAAAGCATATTCAATACAATATTCTAGTTATGGCAAATGATAATCTTCCAGGTATTTTGATTAATATTCAAGAAAATAATGTAAATACTGCACTATAATAGCTATTAGTACATGTATCAAACTTAGGTTATATTATTTACTCTTTTAATGTATTAATGGAAGAAATGCTCAGGTGTCTATATATAGTGAATTTCACTTTATAATTCAACAATGTGAATATTTGGGCAGTTTATGCCAAGTTTGAAACCTGTCAGGCTAAAAATATTCAAGATACACGTTTAACTTGCCAATAAATAAATATAAATTATTGTGGTGCATATGAGACTCCATTTGGTTGCATGCTCATGAGTTTCATAGTCATAGCTGTAGAAAAATTGTTCATCAACACATTCATGTTTGTTAATTTCTATACACTGATACCTGTCAAGCCAATCCTTTACAGGATGATTGTGTTTTAATGTTCTAAGTGAACTTTTATTCCCCATTTTATAACTCGACAACTCACAACACTTCGTCAATGATTAATGTAAATCTTCTGTCACATTATTCTACACCAATGACTTAGAACCCAGAATCATTATTTAAGTCAAAAACATTCATTAGCCTGATCCTAAAATCAAAAGGACAATGCAGAAAAACATCCCATTGATGATCTAGGCCTGCTCAAGAAATTATGAATCAATAGCGTCACCATGGTAACACCGTACATGGGGCCCGGTCTTTCTGTCGGTCAGACTGGACCCAGTGTCTACAATGGCTGTCCTGATTGATTTAACAGCCTCCAATAAATGCTTAAGTACTTCATTAAATATGTTAAACACTAAAATACCACAAAACTTTGCTGAATATGTTTTGGTCATATATGTAGTACATGAAATATGAAGATAACAAATGGTAATCAAGCTCAAAAGTCCAATGAAACAAAACGGGAGCAGAGCAAACATGGACATACATCTTACTAAAATGAGAATGCATACTACTAAATGAATTGTATTAATTGCACTTTATTCATTAATAATTTAAAATAAACACTGGCTGCACTAATTATTATTTATATATATAGTGTGTTAATGTCTGTAAATAGTCACTCTTATATATGATGGAGACAACCTTACTATGAATTGAAATGTATATAATGCAAAACACACAACATCAACTGAATAATTTACAATATTTTTTTAAGCATGCTTAAGACTGAAGTAATTCTTGCCATAGCAGTTTGGTGAATATTACATGGACTTCAGCTACAATTTTCAGCCTCTTGTGTACTATATATATGATTGTCTTTTATAAATCAATTTAAGATGACTGTTTGATGACCTTCATGTCATTTCTGTATACTTAACATATATTAAATTATCATACAATGTTTAAAATCTGAAGTGCAAAAGATAGCCCTGCAAAAGGTTTCCTCCTACTTCTAATATTTGATCAAACAAGTCAACTTTCAATATGAGCCACCACAGCATATGGCTTCCAGCTGTCCTCTGCATGGTCATTCCAGGACATTGACCTCTGTCAGCACAGCAGTGACAACTCTAGAGGCTTCAGCTTACTGAGGCTAGAGATTTCACATTCATAATTCTTCTGACATAGTTTAAACTTAAATAACTGTTGGTTATTATATATCCTACTTCAAGAACATATCAGACCTCTTCTTTGGAAGAGACCATTTAAATCAGAAGTTCAGTGTCCATGAAAATGCTGGCATGGCAAAGATTCCTTACTGATCAATGGCCATAGGTGCCAAGTAAAGGTGAAATTTGGCCCTCCGCAGGCAAGCGGTGGCAGAGTCTCAATATGAGGCCTGAGTGAAATATTCTCAAAAGGATGTAAAGCCATCAACCAACCAACCCTGTTAGGAGTCCTGACACCAAAACTGAAATTCTAAAATCTTAATATTGAACAACTACTAAATTGGTCTACCATGCCCCCCCTCCACCCCCCCCCCCCAAAAAAAAAAATCCAACCTCCAAAAGTGTAGGATAAATTATAATGCCAAGGAAGTATGAGAGATGAGCAAGAAGAACAATACCCTACACCTTTCTTCTAAAAGTGTGGGTTTTACTACAGCTAACATTACATGTGTTATATGTTTACAGAAAGAAGCAAAATAAATTATAAAATAGATGACAAAAATTAAGCCATCTGTGCCATTCTTGATGTGGATTGTAATATTTTATGTAAACCTTATAGTATACTATATCAAACAGAAATTAATAGTCACCATGAGTGTCCTCATATTGTTAGGTTACTAATGTAACAGATGTGCAATTAATAGTTGCATATTTTATATTTATAAAATTACATTAATAAATTGACAGAGTTATTAATGATTACAGAACATCACCATTTCATATCAAATATCCATAGGACCTGCATACAATTTTTAAAAATTTAAATTTTAAGAAAAAAATTCACAATAAATTTTTAAAGTTAATTCTTAAAACATATTGGATTATTATGATATATGAATATCTTAAATTGATTTTCATTACTCTTAGATTCATTAAATTACCAGACCTGTTTACACAAATTGTTGTCTCTCAGTATTTTTTATTAGATTTGTCAGTGAGATTTTGCATTTGCCCGTAAGATTTCACTTTTCATCGACTGTACATATATTACTAGAAAACAACTACATTTCTGATTACCAAAACATGGTTTAATAACAAAGCAAAACATCATACCCTGCTTTCTTTTGAGTGATTTCTGTCATTTTTTAAACCACCGCGTTTTGGCAACTTAAATGTTTGAAATTTTTATCTTTTTTAGTGATTAAAAAGCGTCACACTGAGACAGATAACGAAAACTATTAATTGCTAAAATCCATATGAACGGATTTCTATATTTTCGTCATAGCAAAACGTGAGACGTATTTTGGACTGAAAATCCGTACAAAATATGGCAAAATCGTAAGAGTAAACAGGTCTGAATTACTCATAGCATTACATTAACATGATTTTATTATTAAACAGATATACTGTGGAATCATCATTGTTCTTGGGGGACCAATGTTCGTGGATTTCGTGGGTCATCCCTACCCACGAATTTACATCCCCACGAATGTTTATTTTGTAAACACATTGATTCATTGAATCTACCTTATAAACGGGTAACCCACGAAATTACGTCCCCATGAACATGTACAATTTTGCTTGCCCACGAACATTGACCCCCACGAATTAGATTGATTCCACAGTTTACATATTATAATGTATTTCAATACATATTTCAGATTGTGTACGAATAAATGGTGAAAATATGTTCAGGTATAGCTCGAGATATATGAGGATTAAAAGCTTTACATGAATTATTTTCCAATGACTGCCCACATGTATATATATCATTACTTTAATCTGCAATGTGCAATATCCATTTACGTTTTCTGTATGAAAATTACTATAATAATGATGCAGATAACCCATTGATTTATCCTTGTATTACATTTTTTATATGCAGTTTCTGTAACTATATACAGTTTGTGGTACATTTCTCCTTCCCTTCAAATAAAATTAGTTTAATAGTCAAATTCAAAAATTTCCTGAGGGTTGAAATATTGGTACATTGTTGTTTACCCTGGTGTACTTTAGTCTTTCATAATCTGCTTTTGACATAATTTCCCATTGTTAAAAATTAAATTCAACCCTAAAGCTAAATTCCCTTCAGTAATTTTATTCATGAAATCTTCTCAAATATTTACTCCTTTACAAAATAATCAAATGCCCATCACTCATTAAAAGTGCAAGATTTAATGAACATTTGACAAATTTAAATGTACTTTCAGAAATTTGTAAACTCATTACAAGTAAGCTTTCTGAGGCTTTAAAGCTTTTTTGTTTGCTTTTTTGTTTGCAAATAAATGGCTAATACTAATATTTCAAATTGAATTCATTTTTAAATAGAGATTAAGAGAAAAGCATAATTTAAAGAAACTGATTTATTTATTACCGGGGTAATACCGTATAAGCAGGAATTTTAGCGAGGATTCAATTTGAGCATTTTTAGCTAGGGTGTTGAGATCGCTAAAATTGATTATAATACTTTCATGTAAATTAGTTGAATCTGATTCGTCTAGAAACATTTATTAAAAAAAAAGCCACGCCCTCCAGTGTAGCAACAGTCAACATTGCTTGACGACAGGTGATATTCCAAAAAATAGGGACTGCACAAAATCTATGCACGCAAGGTTCACTGTTATATGTATTTGTATAAAACATTAAGTGTAATATAATAAATACTGCATGTAGTTGAGTGTAACATTGAAAATTTTCATCCCTTGAAAACCACTGTCAATCTCGGCTGCGCCTCGGTTGACAACGGTTTTCCTGGGGTGAAAATTTTCAATGTTACACTCAACTACATGCAATATCTATATAATATCGCTAACAATACCTTCTGCATTGGAGAAAACCATTATATTTCTAGGTATCATAAAATCGCTAAAATTACTTCTCGATAAAATTATATACTGATTTTTTAAGGACAAATCGCTAAATTTGCGTCTCGCTAAAATTTCCACTCATACAGTAACTTAACTCCCAAAGACTGAAAATGAAATAAGTAGAGTTTATTTCAGTATCTTCAAAAGGTTATCAAATCTTGTCTGCCTCCTTATGAAAAAAAAGTTGATTAATACAACATGTATTGATAGCAAGCTTTTTTTGAGATTCTTCATTGGTCTTAAATTGCTTCATTAATTAAACACTATAATTTATTTATAAATAACGCAATGTAATTAAGCCCCTCACATCATTAGACAATGTCTATAAATAGGAGGGTGCGGATATTGATCA